CATAAGATGCCAAAGCTGAACTGCGTTCTGAATATCACTCTTAAAGGAGGTTTAATCCGCCATTGCAGTCCTCAAGAAATTGAAAGCGGTCTTCAAAAAAAAAACCTGCAGGGCTGCTGACTTCTCTGGTCCTCTCAGTGGACACGGAGAAGATGTTCAAAAGGAATAAACGCAGGCAACACTCCAGTAGTAAGGATGGTATATTTATTGATAAAATTGTCATGCATGGGGGGGAAAAAAGCACAAAGCAAGTTTAACATCAGTGTGCTTATCTGTCTGTGTATTTGCATGTGTGTCAATGTTTTTATCTGTTAGTCTGTGCATCTACATGTGTGGCAGCGTTTATATATGTGTGTCAGTGTTTGTATCTGCCTAACTAGATGTTTGCCAGTGCTTTCTCCTGTGTGTCTGTCATTATTTGCTTTTGTGTATCTGCATGTGTGTCAGTGTTTGTATCTGCGTCTCTATGCATCTGCGGCAGCATTTGTATTTGTATGGTTATGTATCTGCAAGTGTATCTGTATGTGTCATTGTGTATCTGTGTAACTAGATGTGTGTCAGTGTTTGCTTCTGTGTGTCTGTACATCTGCATGTGTGGCAGTGTTTGTACCTATATGTCTGTACATCTGCATGTGTGGCAGTGTTTGTATTTGTATCTGTACATGTGTCTGTGCATCTGTATGCGTGTCAGTGTGTGCATCAAATCAGACAATGACAACTTTATTCTTCTATTGAGCTTTTGGATCAGGTTTCTGGACCATTTTCATGCCTGCACGTCATGTGATCATGACTATGCCCCTCTCCTGCATAACATTGTCAAAACAGGCAGAGCATGGATGTCCCCGTCCCTCCGAAAAGTTTCTGAGGACACCCATGCCTGTGGGTTGTAGGGAGCATTCGGCTCTCTATGAGAATGCCCAACTTGCCAACCTATAAGGGGAGCCACAAGGGATACAGGTTCTCCGCTGAGGCCGATTGATTCTGAATCTACTAGACGTGCAATTAGTTTAGTTCCGAATGTAAATTCAGATGAATTTCGGCAATTTGGATGCTTCTGAATGTACCAAATTCCGGAATTGCTTTGTATTTCGTAAAAATGGCAAAACAAGAGAGGGAGGGAAAATTACGTGAATGATGACAGGAATCTAGACCAATAAACTAATTCCTGGCACTGGGAGCCCTATAGATGTGTAAGTGGTTGTGGTGGCAGTCCAGGCACCTAACCCTACCTCTAGATGTATAAGTGGTTGTGGTGGCAAGAGAGGGATGCTTACGAATGTCCAAATTCACCAAGTCCCGAATTTTGGAAGTGCCGAATTCCCAAATTTCGAGAGAAACCAAACCATTTTTTGCCCATGCACATCCCTAGAATCTGAGATTGTACACTACTTCTTCAGCCCAGCTATAGGGATCACTGAGCCGATAGAGCATGGGTATTGTCTCTGTTTGGGCTCACATTCCATCAGCCTCGCTCCAAGAGGCCTTCTAACGCTGTAACGCCTGATGTATGATCTGCAACTTGTTCTCCACAACTGAACATATTTTTCATTATGCTCTGTATTTTATGGTTTGTGTTATTTTAAAAACGTAAAAAGGGTGTTTAATGCTGTATATTGCATTGTCTATGCTAATAAGATATGTACTTGTCTTAAATTAAGAATGTCAAAAAAAAATTTTATATGACTGCTGAATGAATATTTATTTTTAAATTTGCCCTCAGATGCATGCAATATAAAAGAAAACCAAAGGGAAGCTTAACAGTTCAGATGGGTATTATGGGTCATGTGATCAATATACATTGTCTAGTACAAGTCCTGCAGTAATGCATGGAAATTATGTTCCTGTGCCTTTTCCCCATGGGAATTCTGTTCCTGCAAGACTTGAACCCTGATATAGCCCTGGAAGGAAGATTTGTCTGTCTGCCAGAGCGTTGCTGTAAGTTACCATGTCAACGTTCCAACACTGCATTTTGCTGGGGTTTGCAAGAAGAGTCTGGGCACATGGCAAAAGATTATGCAGGGAATGCAATGTCCCTTCAACCTGGCCACAGGTAAGAAGCAGGGAGGGGGACATTAAAGCCCATCCCAAAAATTATTATTTTTTTAAATCTAAACTGCTCCTCCCTCACCCCCCCACAACATAACCCCTACCTCAGCCCACAAGTTCACACACTGCATTTAATATATATATATATATATATATATATATATATATATATACATACATACATATATATATATATATACATACATACATACATACATACACACACATACACACACACACACGCAAGAAAAGGTATGTGAACCCTTTGGAATGATATGGATTTCTGCACAAATTGGTCATAAAATGTGATCTGATCATCATCCAAGTCACAACAATAGACAATCACAGTCTGCTTAACCCCTTAAGGATGGAGCCAAATGTACAAGTTGTGATCAAAACAAAATGTAAACAAACCACAGAATTTGACTATTTCTGTTCAACTATAATTTACCTCTTTCATACTAAGTGCACTCACACTTATATATCGGTTTGTTCAGGGGAAACAGGGCTTTCATTCCATATCAAACATTCATATATAGAACTCCATTTTATATGAATAAAATCTAAAAAAGTTTAAAAAACTAAGACATTTCTATATTTTTCAATTTCTGCATGTCAGTTTAACTGAGAATGTCACAATACTGTTTGGTTTTAGTGCAATAAAACATACATATTTTTATTCCGAAATGTCTCATGAGCAAAACATTAACCCCCATGTATTGGTTTTATGGTGTTTTGGAAAGTTACAGGGTCAAATATATGTCTTGTCTATTTATTTATTTTTTACATAGAAATTTCACAGATTGGTTTGCTGGGCCTAGGTTGCCTTTGAGACCGTATGGCAGCCAAGAAATGTAAGTTACCCCATCATGGCATACCATTTGAAAAAGTAGATATCCCAGGGTATTCAAAATGGTGTATGCCCAGTCTTTTGTAGTAGCCACTTGAGCATAAACGCTAGTCAAAGTTAGTGTTCCTTTTTTTTTTCATTTTTCAAATAAAAACTGTACTTTTACTGATAATATTATTGTCAGTATATAATTTACTGCCCTGAAACACTCCTAATTCTATTCAGTAATGTCTCACAAGCACCACGGTACCCCCCCATGTATAGGTTTTATGGGTTTTTTGAAAGTTACAGGGTCATATATACGGCTTATCCATATATGCTTTTTCACATTGAAATTTGTCAGATTGGTTTGCTGTGTCTAGACTGCCTTTGAGACCGTATGGCAGCCAAGAAATGAAAATTACTCCTTAATCGCATTCCATTTGAAAAAGTAGACATCCCAGGGTATTCAAAATGGGGTATGACCAGTCTTTTGTAGTAGCCACTTGGGCACAAAAGCTAGCAAAAGTTAGTGTTAAATTTTTTTAATTTTTTTTGCATTTTTCACTTAAAAACTGTACTTTTACTGATAATATTATTGTCAGTATATAGTTTACTGCCCTGAAACACTCTTAGTTCTGTTCAGTGATGTCTCACGAGCGCCACGGTACCCCCCATGTATAGGTTTTATGGGGTTTTGGAAAGTTACAGGGTCAAATATACGCTTGTCCATTTTTGGTTTTACACTTTGAAAATTGGCAAAGCTATTTTCTGGGCCTATCTTGCCTTTGAGAGAGCATGGCAGCCTGGGTAATAACATTTCCACTATTATGGCATACCATTTTCAAAAGTAGGCAACCCAGAGTATTTCAAATGGTGCATTTTAAGATGTTTGATCTAACCACTTTATCAGAAATGAAGGGCCCACATAGCGGTAATAGTTTTATTCGCGCTTTTTTCCCACACATGAACTCACTTTTCACAGGACATTTCTTATTCCTTGTATGAGTTATTGCAACAAAGCCTCACTATTTTTTTTTTTTTTTAAACATTGTCTCCTGAATATAACAGTAACCCCTATGTACCGGATTTTCTGTTTTTTTGGGGAAGTCACAGGGACAAATATATTAGATGTCCATTTCAAAGTTGGAAATTTGACAAAGTGATTTGCTGGGCCTATGTGGCTATTTAGAGAGCATGGCAGCCTGGGTAATAACATTTCCACCGTTATGGCAAACCATTTTCAAAAGCAGGCAACCCAGAGTACAACAAATGGCAGACCTTGAGATGTTTGGTCTAGCCATTTTAACAGAAATGATGGGCCCATGTAGCAATTTCTACTTTTATTTTTGTCTTTTTAATCACATAAATTGCATTTTCACTAGAAATGTGATAATCCTGGTATTAGTTAGTGCACTAAAACCTCAGTATTTTGATTTAACACTGTCTTCTGAATATAACGATACCTACATGTACAATGTTTCCAGGTTTTTAGTATATCATAGGAATAGTACAATTCCCCCAAGTACACTTTGATCTGAAGGCAGAGAGAGGCAGATAGATCTTTGACTCAGATACTGTAGCATTAACCCTGTGATTAGTTTTTTGTTTTTTGTGAAGGCACATTTCAAGCACTACAAATGTCGTATTTTGAGTTGTTTGGTGTAGCCACTTTAGAATGGCTAGCATAAACAGGGACAGGCCAAGGTCAGGGGAATCCAGAAGTCAGCGTAGTTGGTAAAACAAGCTAATGGGTCGGTACAGGCAGCGAACAAAGCGTAGTCAGGACAAGCCGAGGTCAGGGAATCCAGGGAAATCAAGCAAACAAACTGCCAAAGTACCATACAGAGTGATTTAGTAGTTCAGCTCTGTATGGTAGACTTTGAAACAGTCTGTTATGCGGAGGGCGGGTAGGGATGGACAGGAGGGGCAATAATAACTGAAGTCCTTACGGACTCCTCTTTTCCAGCAAACACAGCATTTTCGTTGGGGTGACCTTTTACAGGGTGTGGGGGGAATTCGAGAAGGGAAATGTTTGCTGAAAAGTCGTTGGACATCTTCTGATTCCAAAGGAGGGTTAGGATTTGGGGTCTGGGCATATATAATTTGAGACAAAATTTGGACCATAAACTCTAGAAATGGGTATGGTCTACCTATGGCTTCCTTTTTATAAAGCACATAGGCATTGAAAATTGCAATCTGGGTTATGTAAATTGCAATTTTCTTGTACCAGGTCCTACTCTTCCGGTTTACCAGATAGGGCTGCATGCACTGATCAGCCAAGTCTACTCCCCAAAAACTTGCTGTAGTCTACATTGCACTTCAGTTTCTCCAGCTGCTCAGTTCCACCTCACAGACACTGGCACTGAAGTTTCGTTGTGCATTGTAGACTACATGTACACATCTTTCCTATCGGTGAAGCGAAGGGCAAGCAACTCATCCTTGCGGAGCGCTGAAAGGGAGCCTCTACTGCGTCTACCTCTTGCCAGGGTTTGGGGAAACCTCTACGATTCTTACGCACTGTGCCACAGGCTAGGGTCTCAAAGCAAAATAGAGTTTTAAATAACTATGCTTGTGTAATAGTTGTCAACCCATAGCCTGTATCCCTTATTTAACAAGGGAAGGATTAGGTCCCATCCTATCTTGCCACATGTACCCACAGACAGGGCTGGACTGGCCCACCGGGATACCAGGAAATTTCCCGGTGGGCCGTGGCACTTGGGGCCGCACAGTGCAGGAGCCCTTCCTCTCCCCACCCAGTACACACACTCACATTAGGGGTATTGGGGAGCACAGGTCTCATCTTACCTCTTGAAGAGGCTTTCCTTTATCCACTCGCGAGCAGCAGGTGCTGGAAATTGAACTTTCACTGCTGCTCGCGAGTGAGACATAGAGAGCAGACAGCCAGCAGGAGGAGCCTGGAGTGAGTGCAGGGAGGATGGAAGTCTCTGTCCCTGCCTGACAGCCTGCACACACAGGAAGCATGTGACCTGGCAATCAGGCAGAGCAGGGCAGCCCACACGGTTCTTCTGAAGTCTTGCTTCCTGGGTGTAGAGTGCTGTCAGACAGGGAGCCCTGTGAGAGAGCTGGAGGGAAGGAGCAAGGTAGGCTCAGTGAGCAGAGGCACCTAGGCATTTCATGTTAATTGTACTGATTCTTAGAGTGTTTATATTTGAGGGTGTGGTTGTGAGTGTGTTTGGTGTGTATTTTTGTAGTGTGTGTGTCAGTATGGATCAATGTGTGTGTGTGTGTGTATGTGTCAGTATGGATCAATGTGTCAGTATGGATCAGTGTGTGTGTGTGTCAGTATAGATCAGTATGTGTGTATGTGTGTCAGTATGGATCAATGTGTCAGTGTGGATCAGTGTGTGTGTGTGTGTCAGTATGGATCAATGTGTCAGTGTGGATCAATGTGTGTGTATGTCAGGGAGTGTGTATGCATTAGTGATTGTGTGCCAGTGTTTGTATAGGATGCAGCATTAGTTTGTGTGCCAGTGTCTGTTGATGAGTACATGTCAGTATGTATGGGCATCAGTGACTACACGCCTGTGTGTGCCAGTGAGTACTTATTAATTAAAAATCCATGTGTCTATGTTTTGTTTTTTTTAAATTTAAAATAAATTGAATCTAAAAAAAAATTATATATAGTTTTATATAGTTTTGCTTTATCTATGTGATTTGTGGGAGTATTATGCATCTATATATTTGCACAAATGTATATTAATGTATGTGTATTATATCAAAATATATATATCTTCAGCCCCCACGGTGATCGGCTGCCTGAGAGCAGAGGCAGGCATTGGGATCACTGAGGACTGAGGCAGGCAGGCTGTTGGGGACGGCCAGCTCATTTATTGCAGAGGGAGGGAGATGGGTGGCCGGACCATGGAGAGCTGTGGTAGAAAAGGTGGGCAGCTGACGGAGGGGAGCAGCCGGGTAATGCAGAGCAGAGGGAGGCGGGCGGCTGACTTAGTGAAGTGGCGAAGGAGCTGTAATCTCCCTGCTTTGCTCCCCTGCGCAGCTTGCAGTGATTCACAGAGCTGGGTTATGATGTCACTCCGGTCCCCGACTCACTTAACAGTTCGTGATAGAGAGCCGAGTAGGGAGATGACAGCAGTGCTACTGGACCCCTGGGAAAGAATATTCTCTCCAGCTCTCTAAAGGTAAATTTAAATAAAAGATTAATTACTTGTGAGTGTGTGTGTGTGTTTGTGAGTATGAATGTGAGTGTGTGTCTGTCGGAGTGTTGGTCTGAGTGTCTGTCTCTGTGTCTGTGTCTGTCTGTGAGTGAGTATGAGTCGATCAATAAGTGTGTGTGTTCCCTCCAATCACATGGGAAAGGGTTTTTTGGTTTTTTTTTTTAACTCACCTTTTTTCCACGCTGTGGCTAGCCCCACCTCCATGGCTGAAATCCTCAGTCTTGACGATCTCAGCCAATCCAATGCTTCCTCATAGCAAAGCATTGGGAGACTATTGCACATGCACGGCAAAATGCCACTGCGCCAATTTACCTTCTCATAGAGATGCATTGAATCAATGTATCTGTGTAGGGAACATTAACGTAAGGGCTGCACAGTGTGAAGCACTGGCACAGGAAGCACCTCTAGAGACCGTCTGAGTGACTGTCGCTAGAGGTGTCACCAGGCAGCAATGTAAACACTGCTTTTTGTCTGAAAAGTCAGTGTTTACATTTAAAAGCGTTCAGGGTCAGGATATAGACTTCAGAGCAACTACATTAAGCTGTAGTGGTTCTGGTGATTATAGTGTCCCTTTAAGAATTGTATTTTTGACGTTGATTTCTCTGGCTCCTAACTTTTCTAGCTGGCTGCTAGATTCCAAACTAATTTGTAAAACTGTGTGTGTGTGTGTGTGCCACATATATACACACACACGTAATCTTATAAATTATTATGGTTATAATATATATACACACATACACACACACACACACACACAAAAACATCAGTATGATACACATATGTTAATAGACATATGCATACATAACACACATTTGGAGATTACACACGTATATAAATGTAACAAGGGTTTTACATTTTTCAAAGGGTTATTCACTAAATTTCTCATTTTAGAAAGTGAAAATCTAAATTGCGTAATTTAGACTAAAATAGCAGATTTGAAAAATCCAAACTTCGCCATAGTGACAGCTTGAATATTATAGCCTAATTTTTGAAATTCATTCACAAAAATTATTAGTTTAGTCGATAACCCTGCCCTTCTCTCAGTCTTTCATTCCCTGGTATCAACCTATATCCAACGCAGAGCTGCTTTTTTTTCCCAGTCCGGCCCTGCCCACAGAATCAGGGCATCCTAGTGGGTCAAGATGGCTATCCTTCCCCTGATAAATACGAAACGCCCATGTATATCCAGATTTTGATTCACACAATTTATAAAATTTTACACCGTATCGGGACCTTTTAGAAGGGATATACTGTTTAAAAAGTAATCTACCCTTAAATTTCTCATCTATACAAATATTTTCTTCAGGGACATAATTTTGGGAGAATTTGTCTGACAGGAGTTCAATTAAGGGCCGAATTTTGTACAGCCTGTCAAACAATGGGTCGTTTCTTGGGGGGCACAGTGTGTTGTCGTTAAAGTGGAGGAAACGCATCAGCTGCTCATAGCGATCCCTCTTCATAACCCCAGGGAAAAGAGGGGTAGCCAGGATGGGGTGCTTTAACCAGTAGGACCTGATACTCTGCTTTTTGACAATGCCCATAACTAGAGTTAGGGCCCCAAATTTGCACATTTCTGCGAGATCTGTGGGGTGCCCCATATTACGCAGATTGTAATGTGACCCCAGATTCGCAGTCAGATATTGGTTGGCAAATAAATTGGTTTGCTCAACCCATAACTGAAATACTTCCTCTGACATGAACAAATCAAAATATTTTAGGGGCTCCCAAGCATCCACCATAACAGTGATGCCAGGGGTCGCCATAAATGGGGGAATATATGGGGCCGTCAGGTTTGGGGGCACCCAGTCTCCATCTGGCATTGGGCTTGCTGAGTGTCCTCCTGTTGGTGGTGGTGGGGCACCATCACTAGAGGAGTCAATCATAGCCTCAATGTCAGAGGCAGTGATAGTGTCACTGTCTTGCAGAGTGTCACTATCACTGCCTGCCAGAATGGCGTACGCCTCCTTGGCCGAGTAGCGACGTGCCATTCTAAGGGGACTATTCAAAAACCCACAAAAAAAAAAAAAAAATAAATGTACTGATCGCAGTTTAGCCTGCTGCGACCAGTACAGAAAGGGTTAATTTTTATTTTATTTTTTGTTTTTTTAATAAAAATAACCCCCCCAAAAAAGTCAGCCTGATCAGAGAGCCCTCTGATCACAGTGATCACTGGTACAATACTGTACAGTAGTGATACTGTACAGTACAGTGATCATGGCAGTGGGGAAAGGGTTAAGGGAGATTTGGGTTGCTGCGGCTGACAAAGGGTAAAAAAAATAAAATAATAGTACAAATGTACTAAAATCCCTAAACAGGCTGATCACGGTGTTAAATGCTGTGACCAGCACTGGAAGGGTTAATTTTTTTATTTTCTTTATTTTTTACAATTCTCTCTCCCACAGGGCTCTCCAACGATCTCTCTGCCTCTCTCTCTCAGATGGAAGTGAGGTGAGGAGAGGGGCAGAGACAATGTGTCAGCCAGTGATTTAAAATCATTGGCTGACACATTGTAACAGTGATCGCAGTGACTGGCTGTCACTGCAGATCACTACAGATTGGCCACAGGGGACCTGCCTGGGTTGCCAGGCAGGTCCTCCCACCGTGATCTGCAGTTTCGGAGGGATCGGAAAACTTGGGTGAGCTTAAACGCCGCGGCATGCTATGCCGCCGTAAAGGCGTTTAAGCTCATTAACGCTGGGACGGCATAGCACGCCGTAACGGCATTAACGGGTTAAACTAATAACACACAAAGAATGAAATGTTGCCATGTTTTTATTGAACACACCATGTACACACTCACAGTGCAGGTGGAAAAAGTATTTGAACCCTTGGATTTAATAACTGGTTGAACCTCCTTTGGCAGCAATAACTTCAACCAAACTTTTCCTGTAGTTGCAGATCAGACGTGCACAACGGTCAGGAGGAATTCTTGACCATTCCTCTTTACAGAACTGTTTCAGTTCAGCAATATTCTTGGGATGTCTGGTGTGAATGGCTTTCTTGAGGTCATGCCACAGTATCTCAATCGGGTTGAGGTCAGGACTCTGACTGGGCCACTTCAGAAGGCGTATTTTCTTCTGTTTAAGCCATTCTGTTGATTTACATCTATGCTTTGGGTCATTGTCCTGTTGCAACACCCATCTTCTGTTGAGCTTCAGCTGGTAGACAGATGGCCTTAGGTTCTCCTGCAAAATATCTTGAGAAACTTGGGAATTCATTTTTCCTTCGATGATAGCAATCCGTCCAGTCCCCGACGCAGCAAAGCAGCCCCAAACCATAATGCCCACACCACCATACTTCACAGTTGGGATGAGGTTTTGATGTTGGTGTGCTGTGCCTTTTTTTCGCCACACATAGTGTTGTGTGTTTCTTCCAAACAACTCAACTTTGGTTTCATGTGTCCACAGAATATTTTGCCAGTACTGCTGTTGAACATCCAGGTGCTCTTGTGCAAACTGTAAACGTGCAGCAATGTTTTGTTTGGACAGTAGTGGCTTCCTCTGTGGTATCCTCCCATGAAATCCATTCTTGTTTAGTGTTTTACGTATTGTAGATTCGCTAACAGGGATGTTAGCATTTGCCAATG